TTTAAATTTGCTTATGAAAAAAAAGAAAAGGAATTTACTTTCGGTAAAATTGATAAAACAATTAAAGGAAAAATAATTACCAAAAACAAAAGAGAAGAACTCCTCAAAAAATATGGAAAAAGAGCAGAAACAAACAAAGAAAACATCAAAGAGTTGATAGAAGTTTTGGGAAAAGAATATTTTGATAAAAAATTTATACAAGAAGAATCCACAAAAGAAAACAAAAAACACAAAATCGAAATTTGCAAAATAATAACCGATGACGATGAGTTTCGAGGATTGTGTGGATATCAACGGGATGAATTCGATAAATTATATACCATTTTGTCATCTTCTTCCGCGACTGTTAATTTTGAAAATGGCGTTTTTATTTGGTCGGTTGAAGGAGAAGACCCACAAATTGAAAAAAAATAGTAGTAATTTTTTACTGAGTCCAAAATCACTTTTGTTTACTTTAATAGTTACACTTCATTGTGATACATAATTTCTTATAACTTTCTATTTGTTGCATCTTCAGACAATTGTTCATTTTAATGGAAGACTGAAAAACACTGAAAGAAGCAATTTTGTTTCAAGACAAATTGATAGTGCACTTTCACTGTTTAAACAAAAAATAGAAGATTATTGTATTACTCAAATAAGAAATTGAGAGGAGTGTAATTTGGATTTTGGTTTGGGTTTGGACGAAGAAACTGTTGATGTACTACCTTCTTTACTCAACACCTTTGAAGCAGTTGATTGTATAGATCATGCAATGAAATCACTTTTTAAAAATAAAATACGTTCAATTCGAGGATTCTCACATAAACACAAATTTAGTGCAAACAAATGTCAAGTGGTAGTTAATTGTTTTGGCTTAGTGACAGATTTTTATGCTTCTTTGGGTTCAATTCATGATAAACATTTATTTGATTTTTCAGGACACAAGCCTCGGTATGGAAAATACATTCTAGCAGATGCTGGTTATAAAACAAAAAACGATGAAATAATGGTGACTCCCCAAACAGTTCCATCTACTCCATCAAGTGACAGAAAAGCTATGATATTCAGGAACTATATTCAGTCATCAAGAAGGCTTGTAGTTGAAAATTTTTTTGGAAGAGCAACTTCAAAATTTGGCTGGTTCCGTAACAAGTTTTGTTCGGGTCAAAAAAGATATTTAGGAATGCTTACTTGTGTTTTAGGACTAACAAATTTTGACATTTGTTCGCATTCTCTTAGAAAGTATC